TGCTCTTTATAACCTTCTAACGAAGTATATAATTACGTTAAACCAACTCATGGGAAAATAAATCAAAGACTCCCAAAATAATTAAATTGTTACTATCCGTGTGCTGAGGAGCGTTGTTACGCCCTCTTTTATTTGTGATAAAAAATACATAGACTTATAAATTATTCTTTGAATATTTTAGTAACCTTTCTATTACCATCTACTCAGTGTCTGCCCTTCAAAAAATATTCTAATACAAACATCAGTTCTCTGGGGTCTATGTAATGGATTGACAATTTCATTGAAATAATATTTATTTATAATTTACTTTATTTAGATGAAATATTGTGTTATATTTGTACGTATTGAAGAAATGAACCATTTATATTTACATCAAATTCACTTTCATTAAAATGTTAAACATAATATGTATATACTTAAGTGATAAGTTTTTCTTAATGCTTCTTAGTAGGTATGACCTATGAAAATTTCACTTTAAAAAAGGTATAGCTTCAAATAAAATAGATAAATTGTTGATGAACTGATGATATTAGTTGTTGGCATACAGCTACGACTTTTCCTTTATAGCAATATAGTCATAAGGTACTTGTATAACAACAAGTGTGACTGAACTAAAACAAATTCCTATACTATCAAAATTTATTGTTACAAGTACAAATCATACAAGTATATATTGATTATATCAATCTTCTTTATGTTATTATGAAAAACAAGCAATATTTTTTTAAATATGTATATCGCATGTGAACTATTACCAATTGAATTTATATCTCAAGACAGGATATTCTTCATATTTTAAAGGCTGACCATCCAACTGACATAAAAATTCGCATCATCTCCAGAAGCCGTCACATTATGCATGTCTCCAGATGCTTATTAAATATTCGACCATAGTACACAAGTCTGTCTGCCACACACAAGGGATAAACGAATGTTTTTTTGAATTCTTTTTGTTACACCTTTTTATATTTACCTATTTACATTTATGGAAAATTACGTGGTAGGTAGAGACCGAGAGAGGGGAACACTATGGAACCTTCTTTTACATTTATACAAACTCTTCAATTGACTGTTTATCACAATCATTATTGTGTAATTATATAATAATTATTAGAATCACAATAAGGTATATAAAATACAATTGGCTATATTGAAAAAGTATTAGTACGTAATTTAATCGTTAAATAGTTATGTCGTATCTAAAGATATACCTATACAAATCTATGTTATTGCATCATTTTGATATAAATCCCAACTGATCGAAAATACCGTCAAAAAGTTAAATCGATATCGTAAATATTGGCTAGTTTCATGCCATGCAATTTTATATAGTGTTTCAAACTAATGCTCGACTATAGCGGTTTTTTTAATACCACAATAGTGGCAAATAAGCATACAGACTATATGGTAATGACCGATTCTCGTACTCTAATTCCAGCAATAAGGCACAATTAAATTTTTCTCCTTATAGAAATAAATTAAAATTGCAGTAGTTTTATCTGCAAACAAAAATTCAACGGAAAAGATAGGTAAAACTACACTCTGGCTAATCTTCTACTATTATTACATATTTAACTTTAGAAATCCTCAGGCGGTGGGTGGTCAAGTCATCAGGCGCTATCATGAGGTACAAATTACCATGTACTTGTTTGTACACTCACATTGCTCAATTACTACACACTCACGGACTAGGGTAAATGAGTTTTATAATCTGTGTCTAAAGTATTATAAAAATATTATCTACTATATATAAAATAATATTATCATGTGCTTTGTTGCTAAATACTATGTTTGATACTGGAATATAGAAAGAATACAAATTATTTTAGCGTTTACTTTTTTTTTTTATGTAATTGAATTGGCAATCAAAATGTTGTCTCTTCTGATAGATAGTAGTAACAGTTGTCTATATACAGTCACCACGTGGCGCCCATGGTTATTACTACGTTTCATAAGAGTTGGCATCGCCCTTATGAGAACTGAACCCACGACGACAAGTTTATAAGTACAGGTTTCACACAAAAATTGTTTGATTTGATTGAGGCAGGCTTGTATTTTCAGATTGTATGGAAACAATTGTTTGCAAATACGGCCTAGGCTTCAGTGGTCTAGCGGTTTAGCACATCGTTTTACTTCCGACGGTCGTGGGTTCAAATCCTCGCACGGTGCAAGTATTTGTATTCATGAAGTAAAGTATGATTGTTTGTATCTGTCTGGGTGTTTTCTATGTATATTATGTATATATTTACAAAAAAGTCTAGTACCTACCCATAACACAAGCTCTTCTTACCGCGGGACTAGATGATGCAGTGTAATAAAATATTTTAAAGTAATGAAATCTTTTCTACAAATAAATGCTTAATGAAATTTGGAATTGTAACCATTATTATTAAAAACTATAATTAAAATAATTGTCGTATTAATAAAAACTTACAATTATGATAACTCGACATAAGAAGTAACTCTTCACTAAAATTAAACGTTAAATATTTTAAAAATATGTATGTTAAATTTAGAGCAATGGAAAATTCACTGTTAGCAACACATATTATTTACAAAACTAATTTCTTATAATAGAAAGTATGTATATCTTTGGTGCCGAATAGAAAATATAGTACGTCCCTGTTCAATAATATACTGATCAATTATTACGTAAACTTCCCATGAGTTAACATAGTTGGTTGAGTTGGTATGCACTTCAAGTCTTCGAACATGGCTCTGTAATTGCATGTTAGCTTTGAATGGTTTTTTTATCGTTCCATTGAATTATTTATAAGATCGAAGTGAAGATTCGAGGTAGAGCAATAAAGTGGTACAATTATCCAGTTTCATAGATTTAGTATTCATTTTTATACTATATTTGTACATTTTGTACTTGTGTAATTTTTATGCTGCATTATTATCTCATGTTCATTTATAAAATATACTCATATCCTTGTCTTTGACATTATGCCATGTGTATTAAAACATACAAAGCTGACTATTAGGCTATTTAGTATATATTATAATTATATAATATATATTATTTATGTAATATATTATTGTATCTGTTAGGATATATTGAATTTGTCGTTTCATTTTGTTGCATTTTGTTTATCATTTCACTTCGTAGAAACTAACTAGTAAAATTTGCATAAATTAGATGGTATAAGCATTATATTGTATAAATTAGACTTGTGGATAAACAGAACAATAATATGTTAATACTTTAGTGTTGTAATACTGAATATTGTAATTGTGAGAAAACCTTTAATTGGCCTTATTGTTAAGTACATATTATTTGTTATTATATGTATTTCGCTGTTGGTTTTCAAAATAAATAAAAAAAAAAAAATCATTAATTACATTTGCAGCGTGAACAATTATTCTCTGTATTCACCTATGGTTGACTGATAGAAAATGTCGCTTGGTAAATGACCGCCAAATTCCGCCAAACGTACTGTATTACCTATTGTATTGCGTGTTTTGAAGTTAAATAAAGAAATAAAAAATCCTTTCTAGTTTTGAAAGTTAGAACTTAATGTAATTGTCATTTTATTATATTTATTTTATTATTATTTTTATTTCGTGTAAATAGAATAAACAAAATATTGTTTGTATTAAATAAATTGAAATTATTTCATTTTTTTATTATTTTATAGACTTCCGGGGTTAAAAGGGAAGGAAGTGGATATCTCATATTTAAAAATACGTAGTTTTCGCCTTATTAAGGAGTATGAGTATTGTAAAAAATATATTCAGAATTTTCAGATATAAATAAACATACTTACACATCCCTTGTGGTACTAGAGCCAATATAATAATTATAATAATATGTCAGGGCAATTCACACAACACCATCTAGACCCAGATAAGCTAGCTAAAGCTTTTGTTATGGGCACTAGACAACTGATACAAATACTAATGATAATTTTTATTTCTTCGTAAATACATACATAATATATATAGAAAACACCCAGACCGATACAAGCAATTATACTCATGAATACAAATGTTTGTTCCGTGCGAGAAATCGAATCCGCGACCATCGGACGTAAACCGATGGATCACCGAGGTCGTCGTCGAATATTTAGAATTCCGTATAGTCATAATGTAACTCGTTGTGGATTATCTATTTAATAATACTTCAAATCGATGTTTTCGTTATTTGGGTTACAAAACTCATATTGTTTGAATTGCATGGTAATTGTTATATAGGGTATAATAAAATAGGAAATAAGCAACTTAATAAAAATATATTACTATAGTACTGCACTTTTCATATTTACAGTTAAACATAAGTCCTTGAAAGTGTTGAAATTACGTAAGGAATAACTGAAACTTGAAAAAATGTCCCTATGAAAAGTTGCTCTGCCTAAGCGATTTTCGTCGCCCATAATATAAGTGAACACGTTAACTTGAGCCATATGGTGTCCCAGAAAACTATTTCGTAAGGCTTTTATCTCATTTTCGTGGAGACTTGAGTAAAAAGTTTAGCAAAGTTCTAGAACAACAGGTGTTCGTGATGTAAAGGTAATAGCTACTTTTTTAAGGACTACTGTTTATAAAAAGAGGATGTTATATCTGAACGTACTGAAAGTGCCGATTAATTTTTAATCTGGGAAAACTGTCGTAAAATTTTATTTATAAGTCTTCAAGAGGATATTTAAAAAGATATAGTCTAGTAATAACTATAATAATAATTTATTAATAATGATATGAATATTTATTATAATTGGACCTATGTTGTACCTATTCATTTGCTAACCTTTGCATTTTTGTAATTTAAAAAGAGAATACTATTTCTTTGAACAAAATTTAGTTCTAAAACTCTATGTTCTAGGAAATACGACCTCAGCTTGTTTGTAATTAATGCTCGATACACCCGCATGGGAATAATTCAACGGTTTATGCACCCTTGATAACATGAGATGAAGTTTCTTTAGACGCCAGGGCGGCGCGGGGCGTCGGCGGGCGTCGAAAGGCGGAGCCAACAAACGTCGCTCAGTCGGTGGGCAGCCGCTGTTCTCGCTGCACGCCTGCCTATATCTGGCAACTTTAATGTCACGCGAGTCGCGATGTCGCTACAACTACGTGAATATTTATGACGCGATCGTCCAATTCGTCTCGAACTAAATGGCAAAGCCGACCTCAATGCCTTACCGCAGCTTGTATATGACCGTAAAATGCTAATAAAACGAACTCTTGTGAAAAGACTCGAGCACCGAACTTTAAATCGAATTATAGTGTATGTGTTGTTTTACTGTCATGTTATCGAAAGGTATTCAGCGGTCGAAATGCCGCATGAATGCGCCTATCGTACCTCCGAGACGGAAGCGTTGGAAAATGCTGTACTATTTTGTAAAATTCGGACCATAAGTAGTTTGGACCACCTGCTACAGAACATCAGTCGGACGCATTTCGATGACGTGATATCTTTACACGTGCAATGCAGTGAGATTTTATTTTTTGAGAGTACATTGACTGCTCATTCTGAGAAGGCAACAAACAAGGTAAATTTAGCCAAACTACGAGACCTAATTATAGACAAATGTAAGATACGGCAAATACCGGCACGAGCTTTTGAGAACTTTAAAGATCTGAAGAGACTACATGTGACAACCCACAACAGTGAATGGTCAGCTATGACTATGGAACTACATGAACAATCCTTTTCGGGTTTAAATGAATTAATAGAACTAAATCTAAGTGACAACAACATTTGGAGTACCAAAACAGAGACATTTTGTTCATTGTATAGTTTAAAGACATTAAATTTGTCAAGAAATCATTTACAAAATATAAAGACTATTGGTTTCTCTGATTCGTTAAGAGAACAAAACTTAAGTATAAGAAGTTGTAACTTAGTCGTTGAGGTACTAGATTTAGCACATAATGATTTAATTGTTGTTACTGATAATAGCCTGTCAAAGTTACGTTCGTTAACAAAATTAATGTTGCAAAATAATGCGATTTCTACCCTAGAAGATGGTGCCTTTGGGGGTTTATTTAGTTTGCAAGTTTTAAATATATCTAGTAACTTTATGAACACTCTTCCACCAGATTTATTTTCTGACACAAAATCTTTGAAAGAAATAAATTTGAGCAACAATACTATAAATGTTATACCGGCGGGACTCTTTGAAGGTTTACAACAACTTCAAATATTGGATCTTTCTTATAACGATCTAACGAGTCAATGGGTAAATAAAGAAACGTTTGTAGGACTATTACGAATGGTTATATTGAACCTTTCGTATAATAGATTATCTAGAATAGATCGTTACATGTTTCAAAGTTTGTATAGTCTTCAAAAATTAAACTTAGAACATAACCTAATCACATCTATTGATGAACATGCGTTTGAGGAATTAAGAAATTTACATTCATTGACACTATCACACAATATACTTGTACATATTCATTCGGGATTATTTACGGATTTACATGTCTTGCACGAATTATTTATAGATAATAATAAAATAAAACATATAAATGAGAATGCTTTCGATAATATGACCACTATCAGAGATTTAGGCTTAAACGACAACTTTTTATCGTCTATTCCTATTTCAGTAAGAAAACTACGATCACTAAAGTCACTGGACATTGGTAATAATAATATAACTCATCTCGATCGGGAAAACTTTCGTGGCCTCTCGGAACTCTTCGGTTTGCGCTTAGTTGATAACAAAGTTACGTATTTGAGTGATAATACCTTTGAATATTTGCCTGAGTTGCAAGTACTTAATTTAGCTTCCAATAAGATAAAGCTTATTGCACCTGGTTGTTTTAGAAAAAATATTAATTTGAAACTATTACGTATGGATGGTAATGACATAATAAGTTTTGATGGAATATTTACAAGTCTCAATAGTTTAGTGTGGCTTAATATGTCATCTAATAAGTTAGTTTCTTTTGATTTTCGAAGTTTTCCAAATAGTTTAGAATGGATAGACTTACATAAAAACTACATTGAAAATTTTGTTAACGATGATCTATACTCAAATGTAAATATAAAATTATTAGATTTAAGTTACAATAACATAAGTCAATTAACAGTAACTTCAATACCAAAATCAGTGGAAAAGCTCTATTTAAACAATAATAATATACAGCATATTCAAGTTGGAACTTTTTCCAAGCTACAAAAACTATTAACTGTCACGTTAAATAATAATAACTTAGTACAACTTGACATGAATGCATTTAGGTTAGATAAAATAGATGAAGATAGTGACTTACCCGAGTTCTTTATAAGCGGAAACCCATTTGTTTGCGACTGCTCAATGGAATGGATTCAACGTATTAATTATTTAAGTCACAGTCGACAATACCCTCGTGTTCTAGATCTTGATAAAGCTTTGTGTTCTCTGGTACATTCACGTGCAAAAGAGAAAAAAATGATTATAGATATGTCTCCATCTGACTTTCTCTGTCCATACGAAAGCCATTGTTTTGCCCTGTGTCATTGTTGTGATTTCGTAGCTTGTGACTGTGAAATGATTTGTCCAAATAACTGTAGATGCTATCACGATATTACATGGAATGCAAACGTGGTAGATTGTTCAAATGCGGGTTACACAGAAGTACCGGAACGAATTCCCATGGATGCTACTGAAATATATTTAGATGGTAACCATATAAATAATTTGGGTAATCATGTATTTATTGGCAAAAAGAAATTACAAGTTTTGTATCTCAATAACACAAAGTTGAAAGAAGTTAATAATCAAACTTTCAAAGGAGTTGATTCATTAAGAATATTGCATTTAGAAAATAATAAACTTGTGGAACTAAAAGGTGATGAATTCATGCACCTTAATAATTTAAACGAATTATATTTAGATCATAATGCTATCGTACATGTTGCAAATAATACATTCTCCTCATTGAAATCACTGTCAGTCCTTAGGATTGACGAGAACAAGCTAGTCAATTTTTTCCCTTGGAAATTATTAGCTTCATCTTCCAAAAGTTTAGCTCACGTTTCCATCGAGGGTAATCAATATTCTTGTGATTGTAAAAGCATAGCTGAATTAGATTCATGGCTTAGAAGGGATCCGGGAGATCCAGAAAAGATGTTGTGTACCGATACGGAAGGAAAGCCTACTAAAATAACTATTGCATCTGTACTTAGTCATTGCAAGGAATATATGGGAACAATTAATGATCCAACCGTATCTAAAGATGAAATTGTTTCCAAATCTGTATTTCTACCTGATAATTATTTTGCTATTATATGTGGCGTAATTATAATTGTTGTATTAATTTGTTTAATAGGTGCTATCTTTTACGCTTTCAGATACGATGTAAGCGATTGGGTATATACCAAGTATGGAATACCATTATTTAAAGAACAATCTTGTCCTAATGTTGATCATGTTTTAGACGGAAATCCAAATCAAATATATGATTACTATGTGATATATAATACCAAAGATTCAAATTTTGTTTACCATAATATTATGTCAGAAATAGAATACAGAAAAATGACGTACAAGAAATTATCGCCTAACGAACCACCTTTAAATATTCTTACTTTGGATAGCTTTTCCAAATCATCCAAACTATCCAAACGTCTTGTAATTATACTTACAACAAACTTTATTTGTAGTGATCTTTGTGACATTCATTTTAAAAATATATTTTATAGTTACTTAAAATCACTTAATCGTGGAGAGTTAAATAAAGTAGTATTTATTAAGTTAATAGATAATAACCAAATAAACGATGAACTCTGTCTCTTGTTGGAAAAATTTAAAAATATTTCATGGAGCGATCCACGTTTTTGGGAGAAATTTGTGGCGTCTTTGAATTCGACCGATACTATTATCACGGTAAAGAATTCAGAAAAAAGCGTATTCAAAAAATCATTACGCCATACTCCGACCTTGAGGTACACAACAATGCCAGTCTCAAGCGACAGTTGCTCAAAAGAAAATTTTACTAATTCTCTACAGTATTGTAAGAGAAACGACGGAGAATCTTCTCAGAATGGTAGTTCTCCTTCATCCGATAACAACACGTATGGCGAAGGCAACGATTCGAACAATAGCTATATGTCGATCGAAAACCGTACTTGTCCTCGTTTTAATTGCGACCTTAGATTATCTCCTAACAGTGGTCACGTGTATTCTAGGGTAGAAGACGTATCGCCAAATATTCCACGTTCCATAACTAGTAATGCTTCCACAAAAGGACGTACTTATTATGTTTAAAAAACTTTTGCATTTTGTAGCATTCGGCAATTTCCAATCGCTACCATAACTATAAATGTAAAGCACTATAATTTAAAATATGTACATATTTGTAATTTTAATATTAACAGTCAATTTTCACATACGTAATATAAGTCATACGAATGTCTGAGTAGAACGAAAATATTTTATCAAGCTAATATTTTGTATAAAGGTCATGTGAAAGAGTCTGATTACGGAAACATTATATATTATTATAAAACTATTATTATTAGTTATATAAATACCTATAGTTTATCAGAGCTGTGAACATAATCACAAGCAATCACTGTAATACAACACCAAATAGTTTAAGATGGAACTTACCCATATTTCCAATTAATTATTATAATATAAGTAACTAAGTATGTTCAATAAAGAAATATTCCTACAGATTTAAGAGTATTATCATTATGTTCTTTACTATTGACAATTTAATTATATTATATATATGCTTAAAATTTTAGTTAACTATTAAAAAATCCAATTATGTTTATAATGACAAAGTTTATTGTATCTAATTTTATTTTGTACCGTAACAAGTTTTATTTATTGTTTTACATTTTAATATATCTGATAATATTATAGCTGATTGAAAAAGTAAACATATAAATTGTTTGCATTTATGTTGCGTACCTATATTATAAAAATGTATATATTATAATTATAAATGTTTGCAATGTTATCAGTTTTGAGCATAAATGTAACGCTTGAGTACCTATTATATTTAATATTAAGCTAAATCGTGATATTAGATTTAATAATTATAAACTTAAAAATATATGTAATTTTTGGATTGTAATTATTAGTCTTAATGAAAATTATTGTTTTGTATAAAATGTACAAAGATATCTTGAAATCGTAATAAAATTATATTGACGTTTTGATACTTATTCTGTTTTTTTATTTAATTTTATATTCCAATATACGATGATTATATAATAATCATTTATAAACAGTTAGACTAATAATAATTGCACACTAAAAAATATAAAACTGACAGTAGATTTAATAAAAACTGCCATATTTTATGCTGATTACGTAAAATTAACATTGTTTACATTTTACGTTGAAGTACTTTGCTTTACTTTATTTTTTTTAATTTTAAATTAGGCACTTTATCACAACTATGATCCCCCCTATCTGTCTACCAAAATTAATAATAAATACAATATCAAATTATAATAATAAAAATTTTGTAGCTGCACGAAACAATAATTTAATAAGTAAAAATGGCTTATGTCCATAAGTTCAACTGTACAGTACCATTTTGAAAACACAAAGGGCTACAGTATAAGAATATTTAATATCAATAAATGCCTATTGTAATATTAGTGCAAGTATTTTATTAATGACATCACTTGTGTTTTCCGTCTATCTATTTAACTTTTTAGTATGTTAAACCAAATATATGGTATTTGCAAAAAGTACAACGTGACATTATTACACTGACATCACCTCATCATGTGATGGCCGTAATAACTCTCATGCATTGTCTTTCAATAGAGCTAGTCGCACCTTACCTTACAATTCCACTGCTATATTACTGTTATACACATCCTATCCTATACAACTTCTACTCTCTCCCTTACTAATTAAGGTACATACACCATACATACCCTTAAATATCTTCGTCGTAATTTACATATTACAAAAGAGCACTGTTATCTATCGCACAGGATTAATATCTAGTTTAGCTTATCAGGGTCCTCATATTGTATTACGCACCTTTCTGCCATTTGATTACCTAGAACCAACTTCTACTGTTGTATATAGCTCCCTTTTTTTTGTAATTTATGGTATATACAAACAAAGCATTAGTATCATGCTTGTCAGTAGAATTAATTAAGACAGATATAATTTTTACAGAGTGTATCTGGGTTAAAAAAATATTAAATATTCCCTTAAGAGTATGGGGCGTTGATCCTGTTATCAGTACGTATAATAATGATATAAATATACTAAGTAGTATACTTCTCATTCGATTTGTCATAGCAACAAAGAGTTATTTGTTTATTCTATTAAATAAAATTACATTAATTACTATGAGTAATTATGAACTGACCTCATTAAAATCCATATAATGGTTGCAAATATGATTAAGTGCAGTATTTAGATGTGTTTGATATACTATGTAATTCTTCTATATAATAAAATCGTATATATATATATATATATATATATATATATATATATGAATGGGATTACTCATTTTAGATACACACAACAGAATTTTATTGACGAATAAAAGTGTACGTTGATAAACCATTGCTACTTATTGCACATCTTACAATTCACATGGATTAGATTGGATTCGATTCGGAGTGAAATATATTTTTTGTTAATTTCTCTAACTGAAAAGAGTGCTGCTATAAATTAGAACCCTTTATCTATGTGCCTATATTTCTGCTTATTGTCCCCCATCCGATACATATTCGAGTATTATGAAGCAATTATTATCATATAAATGTCAAATGTGAAAGTTTGTGAAGATGTTGGATGCTTGTTATTCAACCGCATAATTTGAACGTAGTTAGATAAGATTTAGCACAGAGATAGACGGTACGTACCATCGTGTACATTCCCATGAGAAAATTTACAAACGTCATCGGTAGTAACAATTTAGATGATTATAATATGTCTCCTTATATGTCATTTTCAATTTGTAGCTAGTTGTTTCTTTCGTATTTACATACAATTATACAGTTTTAAAATCAACATGAGAAAATATTGATTCACCCTCATGATTTATTTAATCCTTGAGAATAGACTATGAACTGCTATGAGAACGATAGCGGTAGGTATAGTAAATACATATAAGTGAAAAACAGTTATAGATTGTTTTGTTATGATTTTCACGCCTATAAATAAGTATTAATTTTGACAGCCTCGGTGGTCTAGTGATGTAACACATCGCCTTACTTCCGATGGTCGCGGGTTCGATTGCTCGCACGGCAAAAATATTTGTATTCATGATTATAATTCTTTGTATCGGTCTGGGTCTTTTCTATGTATAATATGTATGTATTTATGGAAAAAATATATATCTATGTATTTGTATCAGTTGTCTGATACCCAAGCTTTAGCTAGCTTAACTTAGGTCTAAATGGCGCTGTGTGAATTGTCCTGAGATTATTATAGTTTATTATAGTTATTGGGAGACTCAGATTCCAGCAGCAGATCCTGATGCAGTAAAAGAATCCTGGAGGTCTACTACGAAATCACAAATCTGAACTAATGAGCTTTGTCAACCTTACGATAACCGATATTTTATACATACATACATACATGTCAGCAAGAAAATAAAAAAGAAATAAAAATATTATTTAATTTAATTTTAGAGTGAAAGAGAATATTAAATTAAAATTGTTTTCCATCTACATTTTATGAGTGGTCTATGTACATATTTTGTATTTACAATTATTTATCTCTTGTTGTTACAAGTGCCGACAATGCCAATTTTGTGTGGATACCCTAATTGGCTGATTGTTATGTCAATAAAGATAAGGTGATAAGCGACCAATTCATTGGATTGAATAATTTATTACAAGTAATGACTAATACTTCCATTATATCTTAAATACCATCAGTGGTTTACGTAAATTAATTAAATTCCTTCAATGCTTCAAGTCATATTGAGAGATACAGTAAATTTCGAGCAATTGTATATAAGAGACCATTAATCAGTTTCTTTTTCATTTATGTTGCTATTTTGATGTAATTGTTGAAATAAAACTATTTCAACAAGATTTTTAGAACAAAATCTTATTTTTTTCCGCCGACACAGTTTTGCCCACAAAAACTATTTTGTTTACAACAACACTTTCAAATAAAAGGAAATATTTCGCAATGGAATCTGTTTTAATGAGATGCTATTGAGCAATAGCAGCAACTAGCAACAACCATCTTTACCAGTAGCCACATCATTAAAATCCAAACAAACAATATCTATAACCATCACTAGGAGATTCCGTCAGACCGCACATCTTAAAGAAAACCGACACAAAATTGTTTCGACTTCGCCTCGACAATAAACCTGTTATTTTTATGTTCGCCGCGAACATAATGCGAACGTAAACGTTCCTCGTGGAAGCTCTGAATTTGTTTAAGAGTAATAAAGGGATGTATATAAATTTAAACAGATTTGGCTCTATACAAATTTAGATTCGACATAATTATTCGAGTTTTACTATGTAATCGTATTCATTTAATTAATATATTATCTAAATAATAGTTAAAATATAGTTATAATCTTAATCATAGTATGGTATACACTTTTTCGTTGCGTTGAGACAAAGTAATAGAATTCATAATTTTAATGTTATAGTCAACCATTTAAAGTAACTAATTTAAACGTCGAGGATTTTTAATAAATAATAATAATATATTTTATTTTTAATGTTATAGTCTTATAAACTATTACATTTTTGTTAAATACGCATCATACATATAATTTAAACGTATCATAGATACTACCTTCTTCCAGCGACAAATAGGTAAAAATTTTAATAAAATTTATTACAGATATACTACATATATAACAATAGACTATACTGTAACAAAGTTAAGCAAAACAGCTTTAGATATATTATCTAAAATCTAAAAACTGAATCAAATTAGTCTTTACAAACTAATAAGATAAAGCTTATCAGAATTCCAACAGTTCAAAGTGACAGTGTTTATTTACCTAAACGAATAGCAATGTACCTACATATGAAAATCATTGTTTTTAATTATATATAACTATAACTATGTATTTATGAATCGCAAGATATGATCAATATATATCTAATATTCTTAAAAGTTTAAATACTCACTCGACGATTATAATACAATATATCATGAAACAATAGTCAATGTTTCAACAAACCCCGAGAACAAATATTTTGACTGCACATTAATTTTACCACAAACATAACCTGGTTATCGTCAACATAAATCTAATGATGAATTCATATTTGCATAAGCCAACAATAACATTGTACCGATGAACACGGATTATTATATTATTGGATTCGACCAGGACAATGAATGTATCTGCATCCTCATTATTATAAATACATGTTATTACAACCGATATTGAGTTTTATCATTGTTTTGTTATTGTAGCTTGTACTTGTTAATATAACAAATACAAGCTAGCTAATGTAACAATGCTGATAATGTGTAATTCATTGTGTATTTTTTTTTACATATATTACAGTGGGGTTTGTGTGGTATATATTACAGTTGTGGGGTAATCGAATGCATGGTTCACCAGATAAATAGTCATCACAGCATATTCATGAATGCTTACAATAATAGCTATAATGAGTTTGTCGAAACTAAAATAATTACCGTCACTAAGTAAATTAAATCATCTAGTACCTATAAAAATGCAATAAGTCCTTATTAAAAAACACGGTAAAATAATAAAACTGTTCAATAATTTCTATCTCAATAATAAAGTAAATGAGAAATACTGCAAAGAGCCATAATTTATAATATGCTGATCCTTGTGACCCAGTAATTTAACAATTTCTATATATGTGGCAATCGTCGCCTATATATTAAGAGCGCTACATACTCAACATGTCATCATGTGACGCCCGTAGTACCCCTTTTTTGTTTTACAACACGAAAATTCGTCATAGTGACTCTTTCACCATAGGGGATGAATAGTTACTGTCGAACCCCTTCCTTTTGGTTAAAAACCTAATGAATGTAATTTA